AAAAGGTGGATGCTTTGTGATAGTTCCATCTGAACGAACTTTTCCTGAAGTTGCTTTACTGAGATGGGAAAACTAAGTGGGAAACCTTCAGCTTTTATTAGGAAAGGATAGTAATGTGGTCATGGAAACAGAATCTGATAGAAGGAAAGAAACAAGCATATTGTGCCTTGTTTGTGCAGGGTACCAGATATCTACTTGTTTATGCACTCCCTCCCTAACCTGTTTTAGCCACAATAACCACACGAACGTAAACAGTTTACATCATAAATGTAGATTGACTGGACTAATTTTGTTAGAAGACAGTTAGGCATTGCTGGCAGCCCTGAATGAGTGGCAGTTTCTCATACCACAAAGGGTGGTGATAAGCAATTGTGGCATGAGCTACTGGTGGTATCCATTTCCTACTACAAGCAGAACACTGCACCTCTCTATAGGCTTAATAGCTAACATGTTTAAAACCGAAAAAACAGTGGTAATGATCTTGGGTTTTTTAACATGAAATGTCAGAGCACAAAACTGATACCAGCACTCCTGTGAGCCAGTGGTATTAGAATAAAGTGCAAACCCCCAGGTTACATTACATTCTTGTATGCCACAAAGATGGGGGAAAAGTGATTCCAGCTTCTGAAGCATCTTATAATAGCATCTGTGGAGTCTGAATAGGGAACCAAATCCCAGCCTCCTTTACTCATGTGAGTAGTTTTGTGCTGAGCTATTCTTAAAATAATCATCAATTCCCGCTCAGTGCTCCCCCCCATAAATTAGTTTCTATGATGTATAACAGCCACTGAAAGAAGAATTGAACAGGGAAAATTAACTTGCTTTTCAGTAACAGAAATTTATCAAGGCCACAGTTTTTACTGAGACAAAAACAATTCATTTAAGCCTTGTCAAGATTCGTAATTAAAAATCCTCTACTTTCAATTGCAACTTACAAATACTGTGCTTAATTCCAAAGTTAATATTTCCACACATTTCTACTACACTCTGCTATAGCAACTATGAGTCCAGTCTGATAACAAGAGCACTGTACCCAAGCTAGTAGTAAATGACTTCCCACTATTCTGTGTAAAAATTAAACTTACTTTCTAGAAGGGGCATGGGGAGGTTTGAAGCTGTATTTACTGTCTGAACATCAGTTCTATTGTAAGAAATATGAAAGTTCTGTCTCTTTTAGGCTTAGGCTAATGCATCAGATATGGCAATCCTGAAAAGCTTTGACTTTTTGTTGTGAATCAATCTGCTCCCACCAGGCTGCCTGCTGCCTGCCAGGTCTCCACTGGTGTTTGTGTGAACAGTTTGGATCACAGGTCACCCTAATGGAAGATCAAGCCTTCAACCAACTAACCCATGAGTAGACCTCAACTCTATTTTTCATTACTTATGAGTTGGAAGAGGCCTCTTCCTTCAAAGACTTTGGTAGTGTAGACTTCAGCATGTTCAAGGACCAATTTTCTGTTCTAGAAGAATATGAGTGAGATTATTCTGTTCTGTGATGGACGATTATGATTTCACAGGTGATCATTCAAGCCGATAGTACTTTGACTGTGGTTTTTTATGCAAATTACAACATGAACTTGAAAGAAAAACAACTCTCAATCTTTACCAACACATAACACTTCATCTTCCTCTACTTATGGAGGAGTATTACAATGAAGAAGTGACATGTAACAAATCTCCAATGAATCAAAACTCAACACTTCTCTTACATGTCTCAAAAACGTTTTACTTTGAAGCAACCCATATTCTGCCTTCACTATACACCAGTAACACCATTTCCCTATATCATCTCATTTTTGTTTGCCAGCTGCCTTTTTGCTTATAGTCTGTGCAACAAGAACATGCAGAAAAATTCTTTCTAGTCATACAAAGAGGGTCCCAAACATTTTTTTTTTGTGTGCACTAGCTATCTCACTACCTCAGTAGCCAGTATGTTGCCAGAGTTCTTGGGGCTATCGCTTAAAAATAGACAGTTTTAAGGAAAGATCTGAGAGAGAAACAGGAGGTAACTTTTCTGATATTTATACGGAAGGGTTTTCTAATCATCAGGGCCAGTACAGGAAAAAAAAAAAAAAAAAAAACAGAAGCTGTGAGTTTAAAAAAATCAGAGTAGACATAATGGAGGATGTGATCCTTGCCTGACCACAAAGCCATCATGAAGTTTGACCTAAACCATATCTTCCAGTAAAACAGCTGAAAACTAGGCTTGACTTTCCTGGTGTTTACAAGCACTTAAAAAAAGAAGCATAAAAAGCCTTTTAAAAGGAGAACCAGCCCTTCTGTTGTTAGTTTTATATGAGTTGGATATAAATATATCCAACATTGGGCATAAATATATCCAACAGTCAAAAAGCAACTTAAGAAATGGCAGTATAAACATTAAGGGGGAAAAGCCCAGTACAATGACTTTGTCCTGTTTTTTAAATATTATTTTAAATATTATTATTTGTCCTTTAAGTTTCAGAGGATTTTTGTTGTGTACCTCACAGTTTAATCACCTTCGGAATCATTAAGAGCCAAAATCAAGTTTAAACTAGGTACTAGTGAGACATTTTTTCTTTAATCATTGAAGACTGGCTTACATACCAATTTATGAACTCAGAGATACAATGTGCAAATCACCTGACTGACAGGGATCCCTCTCAGGACCTCCCTAGCTAATATTAATAATTCTCCCTTTGAGAGTCATTAAGAAACAAGACAAAAAACTTCTCCTCAGTTTGTTAGGACCTGATCTAAAGCCACCAAAGCCAATACAAGTCTTTCCAATAGTTTCAGATTGGGCCATAAATCCTGAGACACTATCATCTCTTGAATTTGATGAACTATGATTCCTCGGTACTGGCAGCACACACTGTCACCAGCAAGGTCACATCAATCATGAAACCCAGCCAGTGCCAACAGCCAGCCTGCCTTTGGTGACATAAGAGAAAATCCAATGGCCTACATGTTTTTTGCAGTTATCAGTTTGCACTTAATGCATGGGGAAAGAGGGAAAAGAATGAGCCTCAGCTCTGTCACTCGACCTGATATTCTCTGAGTTGTTGTTTTGGTTTTGGTTTTTTTTTTGGTTTTTTTTTTTTTTTTTCCAATTTAAATGCTGTGCACCTTATATGGCAGTTATTTTTACTTACTCAAATTCTATGACACTTTTATTTTTTTTCTTCCTGCTCTGTAAGTCCAAAACAATAGATGTCTTGGTCTATTGAGGTGACATCACTTGAGTAATTAGGCTGATATTGGAAGTCCACAGTTTGACCTTCTGTGTGTTGCTATGTAGTTCTTAGGGATATAACTTTTGTTAGATAAAACACAGTTACATGGTTGTTATGAAGAAAAAGATAACTGACAGAAATAGCAGAACTAACTTACACAAAAGTATTTACCCAGTGACTCGCTAAAACATTGAAACAGCAAAATCTCACAACAGTCCTCCAGCCAGCAAAGCTCAAACAATCTGGAAGATTCTCTCCACCTCATAAAACTCATCCACCTCAGCCCAAAGAGGGAACAGCACAACTCTGCCTCTGGGGACACCTGACCTTGGAGGATCTCCGGGGATGTCTGGGACTGAGATCATGCAGTCCAAACCAGCACGCTTAATGCCCTACCCCTCTAAATCATTGACAACTGTTGCTCAGGTGAGTTGCTAAAGTGGAAGTAAAGACAATCCCATTTCTGTAACTTTGGAGTACTCTGTGCGTTAATAATCACTCTTTCACAGAGACTATAAATATCCAAACTTCTTCACACAGATCTAATTATCACGTAGTATTTGATGCCTGAGTTCAGTCCATCCTGACCTAATCCACAATCACAGGAAATGCACTTTGAAACCCAAGTCTCGCTGAGTTTGTATTAGTTCCGATGAGCATGAAAATAAGCAGGACTACTGACAGGAAGTTCAGAAAGTCTAGAAAGGACTTCATTATCTGTTACAGCTATTGTAAAACATTAAATAAATAAATGCAAACATTCTTCCTACATATGAGATCTCATTAAAAAGAGCTTCAGGAGTCATCACTGCCTCTTCTAGTGTTGTCATGGGGCTGATGTCACAAATTTGGTCTCTCTGGACATACAGGTTTATCTTCTTTTAGAGGTGAATGACTTATTGATACTGAAACAGTTTTAAAACCCCTAATTTTGCTCAAAAACTATACACAAACTTGCATTTATAAAAACAGCAAAAATACCTAGTTACCATAAATTTTGTGAAATAATACATTTTCTGCTTTCAGACTTCAACCTGTATCTAATCACTGCTCAGGAGGGCACCTACTGTAAAGAACATTTTAGCCTCATTTCTATGTGAAGCAGGTGGTTTCTTCCACCTTCCCTCCTAAACATCTGGTGCTGGCTACATTCAGAGATAAGTTTGCAGAGTAGATTGATATGAAGTCTAATTTGGTATGGCAAATCCTCTGGGACAAATTCCCTTAGAGTGCAGATGTACCATGACTCTAAAGTCAAAAATGTTGCATAATTTATATCATTATAGATTTGTCTCAGGCTGGTTGGGTCTAGCTTTTGAGGTTTTGCTGCTGTTCTTTTTCCCCCTTCTAAATAGGACTTTATTGGATTTTAAACAAATAAATATACACAAAACTGTGTCTTCTTTAGCATATTAACTCCTGGACACAATTATGAGTTTTCTGTGTAAGGCTACTGAATTCAAACCAGGAAAAAAAATCCTGTTTCATAAGATGGTCACATTAGCCACCTCAGGAAGTACGATGCTGTTCAATGGGCAGTGATCTCATACATGCAAGTGCCTGTTCTCTAGACCTAACAGCACAGTTGTTGCTTCTTCAGCAAGTGCTGCCAGGCCCTACAAACAAAACTAATCGCATTGTCTCCAGCTGTATTACTCAACAGAAGGAACACTTCATCAGTTAGAATGCTATTGACCACCTGCAGACTGCCCTCACAGTCAGTTATTTTCCTTCCTTCATAAATGCATGCAGAATTTAATTTAAATCAGAAGCAGTGATTCTTACCTGAAAACAATTTGGGAGCTTGTGACCACAAAGGGAACACAGGGAACCCACAGATGATCCAATAGGTCCTGGGAAAAAAGGGAGAAATGAGAGGAATTAATAGCCTTGTCCTCATCCTCCCGTTCTCTGTCTTTTGGGAAGACACCTGTAGACTGTTTGATTTCTTTCCCATTGAGAAGCAATGTATTTTTACTCATCACTTACCAGAAAAGGTTGTGTTCATGTTAAAAGTAGCAAATACTTTTTTTCCTCCACCGGAACTACAGTCCTGTTTCTCACATAGCATTAAATAATCTTTTTTCCAGATTTTAACGAAGTACTAATGGTCATACAAACACTCCCTCTGTAGAGCTATGAAAATATTTATATCAGGCAATGATAACACCCCAAAAAGGCTGTTATACAATGGTAAACTTAAAAAAATTATGAGTTTGCATAGCCAAGCTGGTGACAGACCTCTCATACCTGATAGTAAACCTCCATGAACACAATTGCGAGATGTAGATACAATCAACCTACATTTTACTTTTATTTCAGGACTTAAAATGGATTCCTTCATGCATCCTGAACACAGCAAACACCAAGTATTCATTACAATCAATAGAGTGTATTATACTGTGACCTCTCAGCTGTAGCAAGATCTTTCACCCAGCAGAAATCATTCTATGTGAAGGGCCCTTGAGCACAAATTAAATGAAAGTAGACAGCAATCGAGGGAAATTATAGTCATAACTGCTGTAGAAATGAAGTCAACTCTTTCTCTGCATGATCACAGCAAACAGTGCAGATGCTCTTTGCTATCAGCATTGATGCAGGTGCCAAAATTCCTTCCTGCTAAAAGAGTTTTAATAAAATGACTTTATCCTTAAGGGATGTGTCACCAGTATTACAAAAAAAAAAAAAAAAAAAAAAAGAAGACAGAAACAAGCCTTGAAAATACCATAGGAGCCCAAGACCCAGTTTGATCTACTAGTGCCATTATAGTACAAATAAATGTCTAATGACAGACATTACACTTCAGGTGTGAGTGAGAATGCTTTCATTGCCTAAGTGTTGTGTGTGGAGTTGTACAAAACACACTTAAAGGTCTCCTGCCCCAAGAAGGTTGACAGAATCACACTCTGAGAAACCCAAAACATATACTTATTTTAAAAATTGAATGTTTTTTTTTTTTTATTCTCCAACTGTTTCTTCAGCATAGATTTTACAGTATATCTTTTTTTTCTCTACAAAGCTTACAACAGCAAGTGATAGATCCTACAAAGTAGTAAATCATCAGAATCCAAGCTAGCTTGACAGTAGCCAAAAAGCTGAGAATACATAATGGAATCTGCTTGCCAACAGCCACCAATTGAAAATACAAAATATTACTACTTAGGACCATATTTATCAGAGAGAACTCACTAACTGGTATAATGTACTACAGTCAATACAGGATCATAGAAAGGGCAGAGATATTGTTCTTCTGAGCATAGACACCAACTTCAGGGATTTAAGCCTTTAAACAGAAGATTGGGTTTAGCAGAGATTTTGAGCTCTCTAGGTGAATAAATGGGCCTTTCATGGAGGTAGAAACCTCTGAGTTTCGTAAATAAATGAATGCAAAACCCACAATTCCCTTTTAGGACTCAAACACCTTAAATGTAGATCACTGAAGGAGCAACAGGCCACTTTATTTCAAAGACACCGGGAAATAAGGAGGAAAAAAAAAAAAAAAAAAAAAACCAAACAAAAAACCTTTAGGAAATGCTAGTCAAAAACTACTGAAGGATACTTCCTCTTTAAAAATATGCCTCACAAACATAACAACTAAATTAATCCTCCTTAAAGGCTAACTCCTAGTACATGTTAAATATTAATTTACAGTGCTGACTTCTCAAAGAGAAAAAGGAAAATAAAACCAAAACATTTTTTCTTAATTGAACTGCTTTCAGGAAACATATCCATTTCCATCAATAGCAAACAGCATGCTCTGGGGACCAAGACAGACAGATGAGAGGCAAATAGTGAGAAGTCTGAACTGATCACCTCTAACATGTCTTTTGGATTCCCTTCTCCTTCCATTCTGAAACTGATACAAGCTGAGAAATGGGAGGAAATATCAGAGGAAGGGAAACATCTCTTTTCCCCGTGAAAAAAAACAATGCATAAACATACTATCTTTTTTATTTTTGGCCTCAGCTCTTTATTGAGAGAGCAAATATTTGCATATTTTTTTCCCAACTAAAGATTTTTGAAAAATGCATGGAAAGTCAAATTACTATTTGTTGTAGTCCTGGCTGAGTCCCTTTCATAGACAATCGTGAATCTACTGTAATTGGACCCAACTGTTGCATCCCACACATTTCCAAACATGGCAAGATTTCAAATACCATCTTTAATCTGGGTCACTCCAGCAAATTTCTGGATATAGGAATCCTCTCTGAAGCCCTCTGCAAGGGGTCCTTTAGTCCAGCTGCCCTGGGCCTGGGACCAGTGGTAAACCTCAACTCTGCTATTAGGCACATTTTCCCAGAATTGTACCTAGTTGTAGCTGTTCTGGTTCACGTTCAAAAAAAATAAATCAGACATTCAAAAGAATTTCTTACAAACATGTATTTTAAATTTTAGCTAGTGCTAGAGTATTGCAATGTTTGCAAAAAAATACAAATACTTGAAAAAGGTCTCCCTTTGAAGCACTGGATTTGATCTGTGTCCTTGAGTAAGGACACTCCACTTACCCCCCAGCTCCTTCAGCTATCTTCTTTTTCCAGAAGTAGGTTGGACATACCGCCTTTTCTTTTATGGATGTCTCCTTTATGGTATCAGAGCACTATCATTTTTCTTCTTCCTCTACTTGAAATTTTCCTATCTCTGTCTCCTGCCTCCCCTTCTTTATTGACAGCTGAACAGGGAACACACGAAATCAGTGATTCTGCTGGTAGAAACCCTTTTATTCTACCACAGTGGAAATGTTTGCCGAGACCTTGATTGGCCCCTCTCTGCTTCCCAGATGCATTCAGCACTACTACAAAATGGATATTATTCTCTACATTGAAGGTTACAGTCCTAAATGATGCTCATGAAACAAAGAAGAATTCTTGTCCTGACAGGGGCATATTCCCCACACTGTCTCACAATTGCTCCTATCTTTATGTACCAGAGAATCAACAGACACAGCTGAAGGAGAGCTACTCTAGCAGAGTATAAATAGCCTCCCCCAGTAGAGCCCAGGCCATGTGTTACACTAACGTGGCTAGGCTGTGTCCAATCCTCATTTTAGCTATCTGTGGATCACCTGGGTGGTGCTGCCCTAGGGGCTTCTGACCATCAAACTACTGCCCCTCTTCGCTTTTGCTAATCGGCATTTATGGGAGCAGAATGTGCTTTGGATGCAATTAAAGAAGCATCTCTACCTATGGGCTTGCAACTGAAAACAATCATTTTGTGCTAATGTTTCATTATGAAGGGCATTGTCGCATATAATAATTCATCAGTACAAAAATATAAACATGAAATTAAGGCATAAGTAGCCTCTAATGTAATGGTCCATGAAACAGATAACTTCACAAGATACTGTTAAGGGTTTTCAGGCTAGAGAACACAGATACTCCTTCTTAAAACAAGAATTCAATACTTATCCCTGGGCTCTTCATTTATCAATTTCTGTCAGAAATCCCAGCATAGCTGTGATGTGGGTACAGCCTAATTCTGAAACATCTTGTAAACTGAACCTTGTCGCAAGCTGAGCCCTCCAGATCAGGTAGTGAGGTCAACTCACGAACATGCCAGCCCCCAGCTATACAATCAATCACGAAGTCAGGATTTCAGGCTGTGTGTATTTTAAAGTGTATTTTAAATAAAACAACATTGAAACTCTCTTAGCCGCCTGACCTGTTGGTGCTAATAATAAACAGATCTACTCAGCCAAACACTGTTGACACAGAGTGATCCATTTAAATTAAAATAACCCTTTCTTCCTCTTCTCATCTGTTACCACATAATAAATCAGCTTGTAGGACATAAACCAAGGAGCAAGTCAGAAACAATTAGGGAAGGTTTTGTGCGTGCTCAGAGGTGGACACACATGAGAACTGAGAATAACATTCTGAAAGGTTGATCGTATCACAACTCAGGAAACCTGTAATCTTAACATTGTGACTTCTTTTCCCTTCCTACTAATGAATCGGCTTCTTAAGATTAAGAATTGTATCTTTCTTTATGAGTTACATTGAAAATTTTTGCATCCTTCATGTATTACCTCCTCAGCCATACCTTGTCATTAGCTCCTTTCTGATTGTTCAATATTTGCACCGATTGCCTCCATTCCTTGCTGCTGACTCTCACGACTCTTGCCATTAATTTGTTGCCTAAAGAAATCATTCTGGAAACCTTCTGAAGTAACTCACTTGCTCAGTGCATAAAATTAGGCACTTCTACAATTAAGGATGCAGCTTCATCAAACAGCCAAGTTCTAAACAGAATTACTTGAGTCTTGATTTGATGCCTTTAGGCACTACGTTGTCATGTAAAGGAATCATTAATAAAGCAAGTATAATTTGTACACCTAGAACATTTCACTCTTTAGTGGGGAAAAAAAGCATACCAAACTATTTGAGCCAAATTCCCAAGAATCCCTGGGAAAAAGGCCAAGTAGCAAAAAATTCATTTCAGCACAAGACCAAAGAAAGCAAAGTAGAAGAGCTTTTTGATATTATTCTCTAGACAACTGTTGACCTACAGCAAAACAAATTATAACCACTTCTAATCAGATTTCTGACTTTTTCAGTCTTAGTTTTCCTTTATGCAGATATAAGGAGTTGATGGAATACTGGATTACTTACTATCCCACAATTTCCGAAAGAATAAGAAAGCATTATTTTCACACACAATCAACAAAGGAAAATTATCTGGGAATAAACATTCTTCACCTCAGGACAGGAGAAATCTCACTCTACCTTCCCCATACTAGAATTAGTAAATTGCTTCAGCACCTGAGAAGCTTTGTTAGCTAACTGCTAAAGGGCAGTTTGCAATTTGCCTAATTGGAGTACAAACTTATTAAGCAGCTTCCTTATATTATCTATAATGTTAACAGGCTACCAAGTAAGTGCACTAATGTGTCAAGTACATGTAATGTACAGTAATGTGTCAGAGGGAGAGAAATTACATATATTTATGTATTAATATATTTTCACCTCAAGAATTTGTTGATAGGATCCTGTTAATATGTCAACATTTTGACTTAGAATGAGTTTCAGCCTCTTCTCTCTCCTGAAACAGTGGGCTGTTTCTGGGGAATAGGAAGAACAGGCCTATAAAATTCCTTCCAGGCTGAACAGCAAAAACAGCAGCTGCAGGAGATATGAGTGGCTTTTTGGCAGAAAGGCATCCTGTCACGCATCAGACCCACACTCATTAATACTAGTGAGCATTGCTGCAGTCAGAATTAATTACTATGCACAGGACTCAAGGATATTTTAGCCTCAAACAATGAGAAGACATATGTATTTTAACATTAGAAGTAATGGTGGCATCAGCTTAGCTGCACTCTTAATTCTTTCGAACAGAATGCAGAACAAACCCCATGCAGAATGCCCTCCTGTTAGCCTAGTTGAAGACTTCCAAAATATTAAATAGAAAATATAACACAGTCTTGAAATGGGATAAAATAAAGAAAATCCTTATGTGGAAAAAAAAAAAAAAAAAAAAAACCAAACTATTTGGACTTACTTCTGCACAGTACTGAGCACATGCTGAACACTAAGCATCAAGCGTTACTAAACAGTAAGAGGTCTCATTACCATTCAAGTAGCTGCTAACAGAATCAGGCCTTTTAGGAGGAGATAGGAGCTACAGAAAAGGTCATAGCAGCATTTTTCATTAGTACATCTCAAAGCACCACATGAAAGAGTCTGGTATCATTATGCCCATTTTACGGATAAGGAAATTGAGGCAAAGCACTGTGAAGTACCTTCATGAAGACTTGACAAGCTACTATTATATCTAAAAATAGAATCCAGTTCTCTTAAATCCTCATCTACCATAGTCACAAGCTTCCCAGGAGAAAAAGGAGACAGTTGTTCTTGGACAATGATAAAGACCTGACTTTTCAAAGGTGCATCCAGCAATGGAGACAAACACTTGAAGCCTACAGAAAAAAAAAAAAAAAAAAAACACATGTCTTTTTTTCCCTTCTTATAACCCACACAATCACCAGATCAATAAACTGCTTGGATTGCTAAAACCACATTTCTTGGCCTGGTTTCAGATGGCATCCCAGACAAACAAATCCAACTGCCCCCAAAGTGTTGGTCTGAACTGAGCAGGATTCCCTTCAGGCAGAAAAGCCACGTGCACAGGACAAGTTACAGGATCAAGATATAATAGCATGCTGAATTATTAATTTTAAAATGTTTAAAATTGCAACATCCCTTTAAATATAAACTATTTCCTACATAGTCTTGACAGTACTCTCATTAAATACTAATAGATGGTTCTGTAATAAACAGAAGCTTAAAAATGAATCAAGTTTATATACCTTGGGATTTCATGAGTAACAGTGTTTTCCAACATAGGAGTGTGGAGAATCTTTTTTTATGATGCATTGATATCTCCTTCTTGGCACTGAATAACACTTCATAATATCTTACATTATAATTTTATTTATTTTGTACCAAAACTTGTAGTTGTTCTATAAGTTTCAAATGTTAATTGTATAGTTGTCCTTTATGAGGATACAAGAAAGTCTCTTCAGATTCACCCTTTTTTATACATGCAGAGCAATCACTCCCTTGTGTGCCATAATGATGACAAACCAGTTATTTTTTCTTCTCAGCTAAAAGTGATATACCACTCTCCTCATTAGAAATGTAAATATTTGGACTAAAGAACTGTAACCAGGCAATGTTTTCAGAAGGCCTTGTTACTCATGACCTCCTGTCTGAACCTTCTCTATGTATGCACATCATAATCTATCTCAAGCAAAGCTGCTGGTAATGCTGAGGTAACAGTTAATGAAGTATGTTTTTCTAAGACAAGACACTGAAATCCTTCAGTCAAAGGAACCATGCAATTTCAAATACTATTACATTCGAAATCACTGTTGTCAGCTACTATAATAATATAGATTGCATTAACACAGGCTGCAGGCCTATCAATGCAAACAAACTTGAATTCCAGAGGAATCCTAAAATGAGATTCTGGTGTTGGGACAGAGGGAGGTGACCCAGCCATTAAAAAATGCAGCATTGTCTCAGCTTTTTTTCTTTGCAACAAAACCTTGGAGCCATACTATGGGGTACATCTCAATTCTGACACAAAAAAAAATAAAGAAGTCAACAACTGTTTATCACTGCTATTCACACAGTTCCAAGCTCATCATAGACACTTGCTAGGGAAACCACATGTTGTCTGCATATTTGTGGTATTCAAGCTGGAGATAATAGCAGGGCAGAATAAAAGGTTTTACATGAGTTTTCTATTTGAAAATACCAAGGGAAAGAAAACAAGATGAGAACCAAGCTATTTACTAAGGTACAAAAAGATGTGTATAGAGATCCATTTTTAGCAATAAGGTAAGCTACTAACACTGGTCATGTAAAAAAGCAGACAAGCATACCATGTAAACTCTGCAGTTTAGTGGCAATGTTGGGTTTAATATAACAGTTACTAATTACCTGATTTAATTATTAGTAGTTGCCTTGCATGCAGGGCTACAGCACAAACATAAATCGGAAAAATTAATTTCTTCTTTCATTACATCTTCAGGTTTTAGTTCTGCCTACTCTGAGGTTTTACACAACGGTGACTCAAGTGTTATTATTTCTACCTATTGAAATATCAGGATCAAATTACTTATTCTATTTGCTCAGCTAGATTTTAAAAACTGGCAAAAGATGATTTTAATAGTAACTGTCAAATTAGTTACATCAGTGCAAACCCCTAGAGGAATGTGCATACACACAAATTACTGTGATGTAAAGCAATGTATGTATTTACAGATACAGTAGACTGACAGAAGGATTAAAACAGTGTGGCTTAATTTGGTTATGTGCACGTCAATATAAGAAAATAGCTTCTCTTTATTTTAGAATAGTATCTTAAAGGGATTTACTCAGGTACACAAAATAAGCTGTCTGGAAACTCTCAGAAATTTCCACATAGACAAATGACCATAAGGAAACGGGCTACTGTGTATCAGCTGATCCACAGCCACCATCCATGTCAGTTTTCTCAGCCTGTAACAAATAGTGAGATAACCAAAGTTAGCTTAGTCATATTTCCATGAAGCCTAAACTAATTCAAATAATTTCTCATGTCTTGGACAGATGCACAGTCACTGTAGATCAGCTGATATGAAATATCTTGTCAAGGGACTGCATTGGATGAGGAATGTGAGAACAGAGTAAAACTGGTCTGACTTCTGCACAAGAAAAATAATTAAATGTTCAAACTAAAATGGGATAAACTGCATATTGTTCCAGTTGCTGCATTTTTCAGGGAACTATGCTGGCCTAAATTAACTGGTACTGGTGCCAATTTTCTTTACCTAGATGGAAAATTACAGAGCCATCTATAAAATGTAGCGCTAGTTTAACTAAGTGTGCATTTAAAATGACTCAATGTAACTCAGTTCAAACCACTACATTTAAAGTAGGGAGTATTTAATTTGCCTTAAATTGATTAGGAATGGGTGTAAATTAAACTAATGTAATGTTATCAGAATGCTGGATAAGAATACCACAAATATGCAGACTTTTTCACTTGTAAAGTTGTTTAAAAATACTTTCCAACCTTCTCATCAGATAGGCCAAAATTAATACTGGTAAAGGTAGTAGAAGGTCCAATTAAGATCTTCATTTGTTGCCAAGAAGTTCTCAGTCTCGGTAGTCTTTTGTACCTGCAAATGACCCAAAGGTGGAAAAATTTGCATATGCAAGGTTATTATAAATATCTGATTTATTCCTGGCTGAAATTTAATCCTACCTGAAGAAATATTGTTAGGTAACCCAGAAAGAGTTAATTATTATCCTTGGAAGAAATTAAATATTTCTACAGCTTTAGCAATCCAGATTAAAAATGTAAAACCTCTTGCTCCTCAGACTCAATGACTACAGCTAATTACACTGAATCATAATGTTCCCTTAAAACCAATACGTATTAAAATAAGTGCATTTAAAAGACTAGGAAAAAACAACATAAAGAAAAAGTAATGAAATTAGTAAATTCTTCATGATTCTGCAAATCAGTATCAAAGGGTTTACTGTCATCTTCTTTTAACATCAAACTGTATGAAAGAATTTCTCTATGTGCTTTGAAGCAGGAACATCTCAAAAGAGATTTACCAGGTATATTGCTTTGGTTGGAAGTGCCAAAATATACAGAAAAAATATTACTGTCCAAGATGTCCAATTTGATTTCTAAATAAAAGAAGTAATAGCCTGAGTTTCATCCATTACAGGAATCCCCACGGTTTGGGAATCACTCACACTAAAATGACAGAGCAAAACATCTCAGCACACACAGGAATAAACAAGGCCTTGGTCCAGGAAACTGCTCCCTGCTGAGACTACTTGAGATCAATTAGATTTGGGAATGACATGGGACATGGTTTATTCGGAGCAGTTTGCAAGGCTGAGGTAAAAAATCTAAAAGAAAACTTTAACAGAAATTCCTCTCACTGCAGCAAAAAGCCTCTTCTTCATTTTTTCAATGTTCTATTTTTATTGTTCCTTCTATATCTTATTGTAATATATTAGGAAGGTCAAGGTTTATTTTATTCTTAACATTTTTTATTAGTACAAAGGGATATTATCAATTTTTAAAAAACATTTTAAACAAATAGTTTCACATATAGGACTAATATTCAGTGATGACTTCTTAGGTGACCAAAATGTTTCCAAAGGGCTAAGAAATTTTAGGGGGAGGTATTCCCCAAAAATCAGCTCACAAATCCCTCTTCTCATCAAGAGAAGAACTTCCAGATACCTTCTATTTTCATTTAAAAGTTTCTCAGCTCACCTTTGTGGGTATAGATGGTGTAAATGGGTGATTATGGAGAAAGGTCATTCTGAGCTGTTGTGATTCAAGTGCTGGCACAGGTTCTAAAATAAAGCAACATTGTCAGTGCTGTGATAAGGGCTGATCCTCCAACACTTCTGGATTAGCTGCTATTGAAACTGTTGCTGATGTACAGTGTTATTCTCAGAAATTCATACTAACCTTGGAAAATTTGCAGAGAAAATTGAGAACTGTCCCACTGTACTTAAAAATGCCCTGTATACCTATAGTTTCAATCCATTATCTTAATAAAACTTAATTTAGTCCAAAAAAAAAAAATCCAATTCACCATAGAGCTTGTATGCTTTTCCTATTTTCACTGCATTAAGTGAAACACAAAAGACAGACACTTATCCCAGCAGGGAATAGCACTGAGATATTTCATGGCTTTTTAAAGTTTTAAATCAAAGGAGACCATCAGATCATCCCATCCATTTCAGGTCCATCATAATCTATTATGTTTCATCTAGTCACCACCACACTGAGCCTCCACTAACTTGTGTTTGTTGAATATCTGTCTATCAAAGCAGACACCTGGGGATTTTGCTTCATGCAATACTGGTTAAACTGTGGTCTCTGTGGCCCCTGCTGCAGCTGCAAATGAATCCCGGGCAAAAAAAACGGCAGTTTTGTGTGGCACTCTCTGCCAGGGCACGTCACACACAGTGTAACTCCTTGTGCTTACACGTGAAGACAAGGCTGGTGTAAGGACGCTCAGCTCCTTCCCAGTTCGTGGCACTTGAGGACTCTGACAGTAGGAGTAGTAGGTATGTTACAGCAGAATGATAAAATCTGAAAAAACAGGTATTCCCCCTCCCGTACAGGCTGGTGCAGATGCCATTCTAAGTGCTGGCCATCAGACTCTTTCCTGAAAGACAGGTTGGAGGTATTCCAGGACTATCGGTCCAAAAATGACTGGAGGACTGATCAGGCAGGAATAACTACAGAACAGTTTTTCACAGAAATCAGAGGGTTCCTTCACTTCACACCTATGCAGATCTTTGAAACTAAGTAAAGACATTTATCCGTACTATAGCTCCAGCACAACTGAGACTAGCAGTTGGCTTCAGGTAAATGTCGCAATACTTCACTGTCTCCTCTTCCTCTGTCATTCGACCCATAACTTCGATAGTGCGCTTCCTTAATTTTGAACTTTCCTGCATCACTGACATGACTACAGCCTGGATTAGGGCGTATATTAACATACTTGAAGGCCTTTGAAGACAGTTGCTACCCTTTCTCAAACTGTTTAGCAAATGATGTAATCATGACCAGCATGACAACACAGGTAGGTCCATGCAGAGGTCGATTATGTTCACCAAGAGCAGGTGTGAAAATGGATCAGCACGATCATGGCTGTCAAAAACAAAGTCATTCAAAGAATTTCTGAAGACGTTGGAAGGAATTTAATGAAGAGATGTAGTCACTCCATCTTTATATTCCTAAATGAGAATGTGAGGAGACACAGCAGGGACATACTTGTCAAGTGTGAAAGAAGTGAATCCCCCACAGGGCCCAAGGAATGGAGAAGCTCTGATGCTGAATTAAAGAGAAGGAAAAGCACAGATGTCCAGATAAAGAGTCCCACGTGATTCCTTCAACCAAGTGCAGTCAAGTTGTGTTATGCCGCAGAGAAAAAAGGAGAACTGCTATTAAGTCTTTGAGTAGTGAGATAGAAAAGAAAAAAAAAAAAAAAAAAAAAGAGACCCACCTGTTTACAGTTTCACTTTTTAGTTCTCATCTGCAACGCTGCAACTGCGCTGCTTGCAAACACAACAAGGGGACCTCTCTTCCTCTTTTTTTACTTTCCTGTAGGCAGTCTGCCTTCTCCTGAAGTGCCATTGAATTCTAAAACTCAAGGAAGAATTTAGTCAGCAAGTGGTTGGGAGTGTAAAGGAAAGAAGAGGGAAGAGAAAGTAAAGATGCAGGTAAGTGTCAAACTAAACAAGCGAAGGAATCTATAGCACCAATATCAAAGCAGCACAAGCCACAATGGCTGAGAACCTGAGGCTGATGTGATTTACTTTCATGCCTTAGGACATTCAGTTCCACATAATCCACTGTCAAAGTCAATTATAAATATTACAGTATCTGCTAGTGGAACTGATCCAATCCAGTCACAAGAAAATATCAAATTCTGCCTGTAAGGTACCTGAGCACTTAATGACAAGGATTTATACCAAGATACAATCAAAATGAACAAGCTGTACAAAAGAGCAAACCAAAGCTAGGAAACCAGGTTGCTTGTGTCTGTGTTTTTAATACCTGCACTTGATTTCTCAGGGGCTTATTGTAAACTTTCTTCAAACAAAACAGCATTAGGAAACAAAGGACTAAAGATTTTTTTTTAACACCAGTCCATAAAGTTACTTTCCTAAGTCTATGTTAATATATCAAAATAGACATAATTATTAGATTTTTAAAACACTCAGGGCCTGGCACCTTCTACTGAAATCAGTAACACCATCTCTAAACACATGACTTTACCACTACTGAGAGGATGATCCACTCTTGAATGTGATGAAGTAGTGTTATTTGAAGAAGGAAACTGTGCTGGTAGGCACAGAGAAGTGCTTTGAAGAGTTTGAAATCAGAGTACAGTCTCTTTTTGTCAAAGATATACAGGTGGAACTGTTTCTTTAGAACTGGAACTGCTCCCCGGATCTTTCCCCAGTTTTACGGCAGACAGGTGAGTAATGATTTTTACTCTATCTGCTTGGCTAAGAAACACCAGCCTGTTCCAGCAAAAGAGGAGCTTGGCCACATTTATTTCTGTCTTTGCCCTTTTTTGACTTGTGTAAAATTGCCATGTACTTCAACACACAGCCCCTAACACTTTGGAAATTCCGGCTGGCACAGAGAAGAGCAGCATGTGCCCTCAGAAACACATGCTGCTGTGAGCACATCGAATCTATTCTCCTCACTTGAAAGTGGCTTCTCAACAGGCAACAAATGAAGTTCTAGTTCTTCCAGATGGCAGGGTGTCTAAAAGATCAACAAAACCTCCAAAATGAACATTATGATCAACATAATCCCATGGCCCAAACCTGCACCATGGGAGTAGTCCAAACCCCACCACACAAGTTCAGGCTGACTTTCTCTCACTTTCTCTTCTTCTAGCATTAACACAAAACAGTAGGAATCGTGTACATTTTAATCTTAAATTCCATTGCACTTACTCTTCCTCTTAAGAAGCTACAGAGTGGGCAGCAGAGTCAGGCAGCCAGTACTCTGCCATGTAACCAGGAAATGTAAAGGCCATACCAAGTGGTGACATAGGTGGGAAAGAACTAGTGGATTGCTTAGCTCACCCTCATCTAGTGTATAAACTCACAACTAGTGTATAAACTTACCTCTGTAGGTAAGCAAAATTGCTAAGAGGTGCACAGAAGTGCACTCATCACAAGGAAGAATCACTCAGTCCTACTGTAAAATCAGAAAGTAAGAGAGGAGACTGGATGAAATTTTCATTTCTAACTTCAAACACCTCATCAAGCCAGGTCTGGACAATTATGATGCACTGATATAAGTGTAACTTGTGGGAAGGAAGCTGGTTTGCTGGACACACTCTATTAACAGACAAATTGCTATGGCACAGGCAGGCTCAGGGAAAACAAAGCCTACAAGAACAGAAAGTACATATTCTTAACAGAGGAAAATTGTGCTTCTACTGTTCCTCTTGAAAACAGTTTGTTTGACTTCTCCTGAGTACGTTAACAACTTACTCTCAATTCTTTTTAATAGGAAGGATTCCACTGAAAATTGTGGATAGCACAGGAGACTAGTTTTAGTCCACCTTTCTAGCACAGTAAAAATCTTTCTACACTATATAATTTCCTTTGCTACAATGAATCATTATAAAGTCAGCTGAAGTGCAAGATAACATATCTTAAGAACCTTCAAAGAAAAAAAATATAATAGTATCTACCTAATTATACATCAAAGAGTACTTTAGAAATAAATTCTGTTATCTGCAATGTTAGAATTTTTTTTAGTGCTCTACTTTAGTAATAATATAAGAACTGTGCTGCTTGAATTAACCATTCTGCATAACTGTGCTCAGATATCAGGGGTGTCCAAATTTACTTTTACATGTCCACTCTATTCTTATCATTAGATTCTCATTCCATACTTCCCACAAAAATATTCAATTCTTAATGCAGAAGTACTTCCACTGTGGTCCTTTTTAATAGCTTCAGTCTTGTCACAGTTCAGCATAATATTTCATAAAACTTCTTTTTGAGTTAAAGGGCATGAAGTTCCAATAATACCGGTAATGTATATTGCATTTGTATTTCAGTTTTCAATTATTTTCACATTTCTATTATCACTTTCTCCACAAAAATGTTTATATGGGGGCAGTCTCATTTTACACATAAGAATACATCTAATTCTGACATCCATCTGGTATGCTGTCTGGAAACCTTTTTTATTATATTTGTCACAGCATATTTAGAGGTAAACTTACTCTGTGACATTTCAAGATATAACAGCATTTTCTTCTGCACACTAATGAAAATGCTAAAAATCTCCTGTATTATGCTGAAAATTTGCCCTAAATCATACCCTGAATCATAGACACGATGTTTTTTCAAGGTACTTTGAATCTGCGTGTTATTTTGCACCTAAAATGCTTAATCAAAGTTGATCAGAGTTGAGGCTGGAAGGGACCTCTGGTCCACCTCTGTTCAACCCCCCAGCACAAGCAAGGCCACCTAGAGCCAGTTGCCCACGACCCTTCCCAGACAGCTTCCGAGTATCTCCAAGGTGGGAGACTCCACAACCCCCCCAGGCAGCCTGTGCCAGCGCTCAGTCATCCTCACAGTGAAAAAGTGTCTCCTGACATTCAGAGGGAACCTCCTGTATTTCAGTTTCTGCCCATTGGCTCTTGTCCTGTCACTGGGCACCACTGGAAAGAGTCCGGCTCCATCTTCCTTGCACCCTCCTTTCAAGCATTGATATTAACTGATAAGATCTCCCCAAGCCTTCTCTTCTCCAGGCTGAACAGTCCCAACTCTCCCAGCCTTTCCTCATAGGAAAGATGCTCCAGTCCCTTAATAGTTTCCATGGTCATTCACTGGACTGTCTCCAGTATGTCCATGTCTCTCTCGTATCGGGGAGCCCAGGACTGGACACGGTGCTTCAGGTGGGGCCTCACCAGTGCTGAGTAGAGTGCAAGGACCACCTCCCTTGACATGCTGGCAGTGCTTTACCTAATGGAGCCCAAAAATACACTAGTCTTTTTTTTTTTTTTTTGTTACAAGGACACATTGCTGGCTCATGTTCTACTTGGAGTCCACCAGGACCCCCAGGACTTTTTCTGCCAAGCTGCTTCCAGCATTTATTATGCATGGGGTTGTTCCTCCCCAGGTCCAACAGGAGCCAGCAATTTGCCCTTGCAATAGAAGAGCGTTGCCAGCAGGCCAAGGGCGATATATTGATACCTGAAGGGAGAGTATTGGATTCAGTATCGATCCCTGGGGTACACTGCTTGTTACTGGCCTCCAGCTAGACTTTGTGCCACCGATTACAACTCTGTGGGCTCACCTGTTCACTGACTTTTCAACCCCACTCACCGCCTGCTCATCTGGCCCATACTCCAGCTCCTCTGTGAGCATCTTTTGGGAGGCAGTGTTGAACACCCCACTGAAGTCAAAGTATACAATATCCACTGCTCTTAAGTTTACCAGAAGCATGATTTCCTCTCCTACTCTTTTATTGTTCATTAACACATCAATATTCCCGGTGTGCTACAGTTAACGGTTTTAAAAGAGAGTAGGTCAGACATTCAGCATTTATCAATTGGTTCATTGCCCCTGAAATCAGTGATACAGTACTTCTTCCCCATCAGATCAGGAATCAGCCTTTAGTTCTGGGAAGAGAGAGCAAGAACAACAGAAGAGCAACCAAGTTCATGTTTCCTTTTTTATTTTTTTTTATCCTTTTGTCTTTATAAATTCACTTCTCTGGGGCATCCTTGAGGATGTCTCTATGAGATGGCTGAAAGAACAGAGAATGATGGGCTGGTAACTGGGATGGAAGAATGTCCTATACCTAGCAGTCCTTAAAAAAAGCAACAGAAGAGTGGGACATGAAAAGCTGGAATCCCTAACAGAACAAAAGGAGTGGTGACACAATAAAAGACTACTCAGAGACAACAGCCTCCATTGCTCCTCAGCTTTGATTAAACTCCAGAGCAGGCTCATCTTGTGTACTGAATGAACCAACAGATCCTTTAGAAATAAATGGGAAAGCCTTGGTGGCACAGAACTAATTAAAAACTGACAGAAATCATACACCCAATGAGAAATCATTAAGAACAGCTTAAAACTATAAATTCCTTACACATTTTACCCTCGGTGTAGTTTCTTTCTTTTAGTTAAACTTCATATTCAAATTTAGATGTTTCCAAATGGTTCACCTTTTTACATGCAACATCCAAAATCTTTTAAATAATCTTATTTAAAAAAAAAGAGAGAAAAATTCCTTCTTTTTTTAAGATGTTAATTCTCAGAGGGGAGGTGTCATAGGAGACAAATGTGAAATCTCAAAGTAAAATCCATCTTTCAAAGGGTAAAAAGTAGTATAGTTATATAATTAAAAAGGTAGAGTAATAAAATAGTAATAGCACTGGTAACTTCTTTCTAAAGATTTTGGAAAGCTGTATAAATACTGATGTAGATGTAAACATTATATCTGGAAACTAGGAAATAGTTTTATTTCAGAGATAAACAAAGGCACACTAACTAAAGGTTAACTAATTAGCTCAGGGTCAC